CCCTCCCTCCCTCCCTCCCTCTCTCTCTCTCTCTCTCTCTCTCCCTTCCTTCCTTCCTTCCTTTCTTTCTTTCTTTCTTTCTTTCTTTCTTTCTTTCTTTCTTTCTTTCTTTCTTTCTTTTTTGGCTAGTAGGGATTTAGGGAGGAACAGTGTTTGGAAGCATATGTAAGAGCATGTCAGAATGTGCATTTTGTATGATATTGGCAGTTCAGTGAGTTTTATAGAGTCTTTGGCTTTGGAATATCAAACTCATATCTCTCCTGCCACCAGAGTCAGCCTTTTCCTTCATACAGTAGTTGGCAGCCTAAAGATAGGTTCCTGAGTGCACTACCGAGGATGCAGACTCAGAAAGGTTCCCTTGTAGATCAACAAGCACAGAGGGTACTGGGGAAGAAGCAAAAAATCTTAGAAACTTGTTTGATGAAGTATGCGCAAATAGAAACTGAAGCAATTTCAGACAGTGAGTAGACCGTAATCTCACTGGCAGCTGTGGCTCCCGAAACAGGCTTTCTGAGCCTAGAAAGTGCAAATGAAAACCAAGAGAGCCCATGCCAGACAGCCATTGTACCATTCTATAGATGCACTAAAATGGATTTCAAGCCCCATCTGTCAGTGAGTCAGTCAGTGAGTCAGTCAGTTTGTGTGTCTCTCTCCTCCATCTGTCTCTGTCTCTGTCTCTCTCTGTCTCTCTGTCTCTCTCTCTCTCTCTGTGTGTGTGTATAGAGGGATTGTTTTTAATAACTTTATCATGTACTTTTAGGTGTGAAGTTTGATCTGCATCTATGTCGACATCATCCATATGTTTACAAAGAATCACTGCATCTTGTATTTTCCTACATTGTAGTAAGTCATTCTCATTTAAATCACATTGTGTGGTAGAGCTAAAAAGAACTTTCAACTACTAACAGATAAAGATTAATCCTGCACAGCTGAGTCCCAGCTGTTTAATCAAGATGTTGGGATTTAGATGAGTCCATCAAGAAAAGCTTCTAGACTTGGCTGAAGAATGACAGAATGGGTTGTAACACACATAAGCATACAACTCAGCAGCCTTCTGGATGCACAATACAGTATAAAACAAGCTAACCCCTTTGACATTCTTCTGTGACCTCATTAATTCTTGATGCTACCTTTATCAGCACCAGATTCCCCTTTTGATTATTAGCATTTCTTACTTAGAAGACTATCAGCTTGCCAGGTACTTGGCCTGCCACTCATATATCCTCCTGTCTAACCCTTTATTAATGCCTTACTTGGCTTCTAACTTCCATCTTTCTAGCATATTGGATCAATTAACTTATATGACACTAATTCTATAAATAGCATTGTTTGCTGCAGGCCTTGACTATGCATGAACTTGGGAACAGCCTAGTATTATTCCTTTATAGGACTCAGCATTGGTAGTTTTGCATTTGCCCTTTATCTTGAATTAATAATCAAAATAAAAGTTCATGAAAACACAGCATCCATAGCTCTGCTTGGCACTTCATGGTGAATAAACCTTCCCATTAATTCTAGTATTGTGAGGGAATGAGGTTTAGAAAGGTCTGGAAGGGGTGGCAGAATGTCCTGGATAAAGCATGAATACAGAGTCATACAGGTGAGGATTGGAGTATAGCGTCATCACTATTATATATTATGGAGTAAGAAGTATCTCCAAGGTTTGTCTTTGTTCCACTCTAAAATCTGCAGAGAGATACTCAAAGAGCCCCATCTCAGGTCCCCAATAGTACAATGTGTAAGAATTAATTGGACCTTAGTAAATTATCTCTACTTGCTCAGCTAAGCAAACACTCATGCCTGTTTTTGAAAATGCAGTACACTATTTTCAATTATACATTGCCAAAATGCAGTACACTATTTTCAATTATACATTGCCAAACATATAGGCTATCGATTCTCTCTCTCTCTCTCTCTCTCTCTCTCTCTCTCTCTCTCTCTCACACACACACACACACACACACACACACACACACACACACTTGCAGTGATTTCCTATCATTCATTTTCTGATGAAACCAGAGAAGACCTTAGATTTGGGATCTTTTAAGGACTATTGGCTCCTTGAGTCTATGGGTTTCATAGGTTCAGTTCAGTCCTTCGAATCTGTCTGTGAACTAAGCATGTAGTCCATTCCCTCTCCCCATTATTTTACAAACAAGCCTTATTAACAACAACGTACACAGTATTTACATTGTACTAGGCATTAGAAGTGATATAGAGACAATTGAAAGAAATAATATAGGGCCTATGTAAGTGCTGTGTCATTTCATATAAGGGATTGAGTATCTGTACAAGTTGACCTCTTTTTAGGCAATGGTGATAGGCTTCAAAACAATCCCTGAAGATATGGAGAGATGAATGTATATCCTAGCTGTTGTTGGCTATTTCTGAAATCCTGAGGACACTCTTATAAAGCTAACTTTCAAGGATATATTCACACTACTGTTAGTCATGAACTGGAATCTCAAGGCTGGTTTTATGATGCAGGTAAGACATGACTTGGCTTATTTGAAGTGAGTTCCTGTTATCTTCTATTTCTTCTCCCTTTCCTTTTCTTTTCAGATTTATACTGTTATATGGAGATGAGCTCTTCAGATTCCATAGACAATGTGTGACTGGGAATACTCTCTAGCTTTGTGTCTGTGTCCTTTGAACTCCATGTCAAGGACACCCAACTCCTGGGTGTAAGAACCTGTGCTCTGATGCCTGAGGGATGAGTAGAAGGTGAGAGGGATGTAGAGGCAAGATGGAGAATTATGGAATAATAGCTACTCACCAAACCTCCAAACGTCACTGTTTGCCTCACTGCGGACTGAGACTTTTTCATAGAGAAAGTAACAATTAAGAGCACAGGGTTAAAATGCCAACATGTGTAAGGATTAATTTGTGCCTCCTTAATCTCTATACCCCAGTTTGCTAATCCATAAGCAGAGCAAATATGGTGCCCACCTTGTAGGACTATTGGGAGAACAATGAAGGGGTGCATACCAAGTCCTTCCCTTAAGGGGAGGACAATAGACTTAACATTATAAATGATAATGCCTTTATAAAAGTTTATAATGGTATTATTTATAGGTAAAGTTTATAGGTAAAATCAAGGTAATGTTAGTCAAATATTAATCATTTTTATTATGGCCACTATGTAGTAATATACATTTATAATTCTTTTTATTTATATAAGGATTTTTTATGCAGGTAGATTAATTAGGGTTAAGTAGAATCATGTATCTATTTCTATAGTGTCTTTATAATATGTTGTACACTGTGTCCTCTCATATCCTTGCAGGCACTCCATAGGTACCAGTCCACATGGATCTTTAGTTTTAGCTGACCTCTGTATGAACGTATGTGGAAAAACAAGAAGGCTTGTTTGAAATGCCAAGCCAGGTGGTGGTGGGGATGGGAACAAGTTCTTCTGACTCCCAGGCTTCTTGTGTGACATTCAGGGACCTTAAGTGGCTTTGATAATGCTAGTTTTTGTCTCATCTCAGCAGCCAGAATCTACGTGCTGAATTGACTTCCTAGAGACGAAAAAATCATCATCTGGGAAAGGGAAACAAAAGGCCCTTAGTTATAGGAGACATGGTGAGTGGGAAAACATAAAGAAAATGAGCAGCAATTTATAACCCAAGTTAAACAAAAAGCTCCCCAAATTTACATCCTCCTGTTTCCACATAATGAGTCAATTAATCTTCTAATGCTTTATAAAAGTAAAAAAAAAAAATAAATAAAAAAAAAATAAAAACCACCCTGGTAGCAGCTGGTTTTAATGCTAAACCTAATTAGGAAAACACATTAAGGCAAGAGAAGTGCTGAAGTTACATTTAGCTCGAGAGGAGAGACGTATGTTCATGAGCTTGTGCTGCGGACAAGGAGACAGGAGGTGACATAAATTCAAGCTTGTCTTTTGTATCCCATAGCCTGATTTCCCAAAGGAAGGCAGCCATTTGGGAACGGAGAAGTGGGTCACTGTAGAAGGCACGGTTCTGTTCAAACAAAGCAAATTAAAGACTGCTTCACAGAGCTGGTAGATTGGCATATCTGACTGGATTTATGGATTTTTCCTTCTGGAATGACTGAATAAGCCATCTGGGCGCCATTTAGCCCAGCCTATTCTCACCAAAACAAAACTAAACAAAACACAAACAAACAAAACAAACAGCCCTCCGTAAAACAAACAAACAAACAAACACCCCACCATTACCACCACCACCACCAAAACCTTAACATGTATTTTTAACAGGCAAAGAGGAAATTTCAGGTTAATTTTATGCTTCTCTGGAGGTGACAATTGTGCATGGGGTGGAGGATGAAGGCAAAAAATATTTTTCCTTGGAAGGAGGGTGCTGGTTTAGCATGCTGCGGCATTGATATCAGCTCAGTGGAACATCATGTTACAATGTGGAGTCTACTCAGAAGCCTGCATTGGTCCTAAGATTCAGAATAAACTCCCTGGTACATCTTCTAATCCTTGGAACATATTGAATCATAAGGTGTCTGTGACTCGTTTGTCTTAAGGTCTACTTACATGTATAGCCATTTCTCTCTCTTTCTTGGTAATGTCCCTAAAATAGATCCTGTTAAAAAACCAAAACCCAAACCAAAAGGTTTCTTCCTCTACAACAGAGAACAATTTATTTGAGGAATCTAGCTTCCAAGAATTAAGACTTGAAATCTTAACTAGAGTAGTAAGACACCTGAAGGAGATGGAGTGGATACCCATAGGAAAGGAAGACATCAATAACATACCCTTCATTAAAGACTTCACTGGAAAATGTCTGCAGCTGATACACACTTTTAGCAAATTTATCAACATGATACAAAATCCGGTAGTTCTCCTGTATACAGATGGCAAACATACTGAGAAGGAACATAGTAAAACAGTACCTTTCACAATAGCCTCTAAACAAGCAAACAAAATCTTGAATTCCTATTGAGAAGAATGCATTACCAGGCACTTCCAACTGTTATGGGAGGCCAGTTTCTAACAATTCATGTGAGATTGGCGCCCCCTAGTGTCTTCAAAGGATCCCACTCCAAAAAACTTTAGGTTTAGAAATCACAGAATTGCAGAAACAGCTATACCTGTACCATAGTTGTAGACTATATTATACAAATGTTGGAAGACTTTTTCTGGGACGAACATCATCTTATTGAAAATAAATGTTAGTTAAGGGTTTTGGGTTTTGGTATCTTTTGGGAGAATTGTCAGAGAAATTGTGAGGTAGAAAAAGAAAAAGGGAGAGTTTCAAAAGAACAGTGAAATGAATACTTTTTGTTTTTAAAACAATATATTTTACTTATTCTTTGGTAATTTTACACACATATGCAAGGCATAAACACTTTCTCACACACACATCATGCACACATACATGCACAAGTGTCCAACACCCCCCCCCCCCCCCCCCCCCACGCACCGTGTATCTTCACCGTGACCATGTATCCATACCTCATTTCCCTCCCTATGGGATTCTAACAGAATCCTTGCCCACTCCCCATATCCTCTTCCTTATTTTTCTTTTTTAAAAACATCAAATCCAATTAGCTGGCCTAATGTGAGCATGAGCAGCCTTTCAATATCCACACCTCAAGGAAAAAACAAAACAATGTCTCCTGAGGGAGACAACAACTGCCAATAGCTCCACAGCTAGACAGGAAGCCTCAAGCCCTCTCTCCTATCTATGCTGGCTCGATCTATTGACTGGCTTGATCAGATCCCTTGCGAGTTTTCTGCCAGAGTCTTCTCTGACTAGATATGTACCCTGTTCACAGGAGGAAATTCTTTACTAGTACCATAAACATGATAAAAGTTGCTGGGAAGGTCGTTAGACTGTAGGTGGGAAATTTACTACCTTTGTCTTGCTTTGGAGACACATTGTCAAACTGCCTTCTAAACATGTACATTTCTACCTGTAGACTAGTGCTGCTCTCAGCCTGGGGCACAGAAGCTTCTTTTGGCAGTGGTTGTCAGTCAGTCAGAGACTCACAGTGCTGAGAATATGTGACTGTTGGGTGCTTAGCCCTAAATTAAAATATCATTAAACCGGAGTAGTTTCAAGGCTTCTTTGATCATAAATTGGAATTCAACAATAGTGATGAATACTCCAGAAAATAAAAAGTAATAGACTCACTGAGACTGTAAATCAGATGATGGTAAAGGAACCCAGTGGTTCTCAGAGCCTCAGCCGCAGCATCATTTACCAGTGTCAGCAGCATCTGCCCACTGTGAAGACCAGTGAACTCTCAGGCCCACCTAGATCTAGCTGACCCAGATAGGGCTCAGAGCCCTGATTGTTCAGAGCCTTTTCGATTATTCTGATGTTGAAGACAGTTTGAATCACAAAGTAGAGTTTAGGCCAATGGTTCCCACAAAATTACATAAGAAAACGAGGGGTTGAGGAGATTGCCAGTCAGGTAAAGCATACAGGTGATAACTGAAGTTTGGATACTCAGCACTCCCTTACCCGCTGGGTGGGCATGGCAGCCTGCCTATCATTTCAGCACTGAGAAGGTAGAGGCACAGGATCCCCACCCCCCACCGAGGGAGATGGCTAGCCAGACTAGACACAGCAACAAGCTCTATTTTCAACTAAGAGGTCTTGCCTCAATGAGTAATGTGCGGCATGATCAAGGAAGATTACTGAAGTCAGATCTGGACATTCTACATGCATGTGTACACATGTGGACTTACACTGGCACATGTGAGCCCACATATGTATGGATATACAATTACTCATGCATGTATAGAACACACTGCCACATGGAAAGAAAGGAAGGAAGGAAGGCTGCCCCATGGGGGGAGCAACAGTGTCAACGGGCCAGGTTTCCCAGAGCTCCTGGGGACTGGACCACCAACCAAAGAGTACACATGGAGGGACCCATGTGGCAGAGGATAGCCTTGTTGGACATCAGTGAGAGATGTGCCCCTTGGGCCTGACGGTGTTCGTGTAGAGGAGTGTGAGGGCAGGAAACCCCCTCAGGTCCTTTAGTTTCTTCTCCAACTCCTCCATTGGGGGAGAGACAGCTCAGAGGTTAACACTGCTCTTCTAGAGATCTTGAGTTCAATTCCCAGCAACCACATGGTGGCTCACAACCATCTGTAATGGGTTCTAATGCCCTCTTCTGGTGTGTCTGAAGATAGCTACAGTGTAGTCGTCATATACATAAAATAAATAAATAAAATAGGAAGAAAAAGGAGACTTTTGAACTTCTCTATCCATGGGTTTCTACACTAGACTATGTAGGCTCCTGATGGTGCCTGTTCATAATGACTGCCAAGGTAAATGGCATAGTGTATTAGAGGGCTTAACACGGTGCCAGATCTTAGACATCAGCTTTAATTTCTAAAAACATTAAAATGGAGGAAGATCAACTTGGCCCAGGGAGTCATGGTATTTGATATTACAATTGTTCTTTCATCAAAGCCCGGCATTCTAGCTTGTGGGAATAACTAGTGAGATTTTGTAAATTATCATGTCATCCAATTCAGCTTATACTAGAAACAGCAAGTCATTAGGTTGCAAATTTATCTGTCTTCTAAATATTGAACACTTTGTACTTGCAAGAGTGTGAATAATAGACAAAAGGTGTTTGAGGGTCAATATACAATGGATGTGTTGTCAGTTGTTACTGATTAAGAGAAGATAATTATACAGGTATTTAAAACTATTTAGTTTATTTTCACAGATGGCTTTTATTCATGCTTTGGTTCTAATTGCTTCAAATTTTCAGTCCCATCCTGAGAGTGTGACAGGTTTTAGCACGGATTTTTGATGATAACACTCACCTCCAAATCCAGGCCTTGTGGAGAAATCATGGTCCTCAATGTGTAACAGTTGTTCTCGTTTCAGGGGCCAGACTTTAGTAAGGTCGTCTTTCCTTGTTCTAGTTTCCCGAATGCTACACCCCAGAGAAAAAGATACACATATGTTTTCGTTAGGTTTACTGTTACTGTGATGAAATGTCATGACCAAAGCAACTCATGGGAAGGAAGGGTTTGTTTGGTGTAGGTTTCCATATCCACAGCCCATCCCTGAAGGAGGTCAGGACAGGAACCCACACAGGGCAGGAACCTAGAGGCAGGAGCTGATGTAGAGGCCATAGAGGGATGCTGCTTACTGGCTTGCTCCCCAACCTTGCTCAGCTTACTTTCCTATAAAACCCAGGATCACCAGCCCATGGATGGCATCAACCTAAATGGGCTGGGCTCCCCTGTCAATCGCTAACATATGCTTTTAAGATTTATATATTTCTCATTATTAGCCATCTTGCTTAGCACAGTGTGGTCTGAAATAAACATGTACAGTCTCATTTCCTTAGTTCAGATTAAGTCAAAGATCTGCCAATATTTGTTTCTTATTATATAAGGGTGTGACAGATAAGGTAAAATAAATTTTAGATTACTTGAAATATCAAACAAAAAGGGATTTAATACACAGACATTTCTCTGAATATGTATGTTAGATGAGAAATATCAGGTGATTAAAGTTCAGATTCACATCAGCTAAGGGAGTACCCCAGGAAGCAGCCTGGGATGAGCATTTGAACACGACACCCAGAGACTGTTCAAGCTCTGCATTAAAGCAGCAAACAAGTAAAAACATTACAAAACTGTAAACTGATGCAAACAGGGCTTCCAGAGCCAGAATAAGCAGAGTGCAGGCACAGGCTGAGACTGCAGGCAGAATGCCTGTCTCAGGTTGCGGTCGTAGGACTTGTGGGTCGTTGGTCCTGGGCAAAACCAGTGGTGAAATAGGCAGAGTCCATTTCCACCTCTCCTCCCACATTTCCTTTTTCCTTTCTACTTTTCCTTTTGCCTTTTTTCAACGCAGCATGGCAAGCTCCTGATATGGAAACAAAATCTTGTCTCTTTGGGATTGGTGAATATAGGCACATTTCTAGGACACTGGAACTACTTTTCTTCTTTCCTTTTTCAGCTTGAGGGACCATTTCCTAGGAACACTGATGCAAACTTTAACAGTTGTGGAAACAATTAATTTAATTTTCTTGCTACATTTAATGTGTGTGTGCACACACGCCTTCCTGGGCCTCCCATGATACTCTTGTATAGGTCCAAAGACAACTTGCTTAACTCTCTTGTCCCCTTCCACCATGTGGGTCTTGGGGGTTGAACCAAGGTCCTCACCCTCAGTGGTGCCCACTGAGCCATCTCACTAAGCTCCAGAAAATGACTCTGACCTGGAGAATTTCAGATTCTGAAGCAGCTGATGAAAGAGATGTACTAGGGTTTGTGAGATGGTCCAGTGCGATCTCTCAGTAGGGTTGTTTCTGGATGAATCCTCAGGGTTTAGAGATGTATTCTCTTCCTAATAATACGAATGGACAATTTGCGAAAAGGAATCTCTTTTGAATAGAAGGCAATAAATCTGAACTTAAATATGTTAAGCCTTTATAGCCTGTGAATAATTGAACACATTGAACACTTTCTTACAAGGAGCTACAATAAACTAGGGAACATCTTCTAAGGAGCTAGGATTAACTATTTATTAAAAAAAACAATGGTGGGGAGATACACTGTTATAAAGTACATACTTTCTGAGCAAGCATGAGAACTTAATTTCCCTACACCCTTCCCTCAAAGTGAATCATAGTTGAATCTGTGTTTGTAATCCCACAGACATAGACAGGAGGATTCCTGGAGCTTGCTTGTCCTCCAGTAGCCTAATTGATGAGCCCAGGTTTCCCTGTTTCAAGACACAAAGTGACAACTTCTGAGGAGCCACCCCTGAGGTTGGCCACTGGCTTCTCTGTATATGCATATATACAAACACCCACACAAATACCTCCCACCGTCCCACTTCCTCACCCCTACCCACACAAACACATACGCGTGTATATAAGAATAAATAGCATAACAAAGAGAGGCTGGTGGTAGCTTTCAAACAATGCCTACTGTGTTCAAGATATCAGCCCAGATGTTTGGCAAATGTGATCTCATTGGCGTGTATCCACATCTTCTGTTTTCCTGGGCCTCTGCCCAGAGTGTCTGCTGACTTAGTAGGTTTGGGGTATGAAATTTTGTAACAGTTTTTCAGGATAACTTGTTTCTGTAGAAAACAGCAGTTGTTAGTACTAGCTGGCTGGCTATTTGTTCTCATAAAAAGGAGAGTAGATGTAATGGAGAATTTACAAACATTTCTCCTTTGGTAATAATATTTTTGATACAACTAAACGATATGCAACTAACGTGTCATTTCAGAAGCTTTCCCTGAAGGATATGGAAATACAGATACATTTGAATGAAGAACCCCAAGAGTGCTGATCACAGGTCTGCTGTGACTTGCTGGCTTGGCAGAAGTGGGTACAGGCACCTCCTCTCACTTGACCTGCAGTGAGTGGTTCACGGTTATCTCATCCCAATTTCCTTTTATCTTATCTACTTTGCAAAGAGAGGCTGCTGGTTGTACCCTCAAAACAAATTTTAGAATTCTGTGTACTGTACCATATATATTTAAACCAATACTTAAAGGAGCTGGAGAGATGGCTTAGTGGGTGGGAATGTTTACAACCATGCAAAAGATAGGAGTTTGGTTCCCAGTCCCCACCTTGGTGGCTTCAGAAACACCTGTAACTTCAGCTGCAAAGATGACACGTCTAGTTCCAGAGGCAACTGCATTCACAAACCTACTTCCACACAGAACAGACCCAGACACATTCACAGACACAGAACAGACAAAGATACATTCACACACACACACACACACACACACACACACACATACAGATATACACACACAAACACGTACCCTTAAAGAGTGTACCCTTAAAGATACATAAAACCTCATGAATACAGGTGTTTGCTTTGAAAACCTCTGACTTAGTATTTATGCATATTTATAATTATATGCAATTATATATTATTTATAACACATGTAATAGTTATAGTGTATGGTATGTGAAACACTGAAGGGTGGACCAGGAGGGGAATAAAATCTGGAGTGTAAAGATAAATAAATAAAATATTTAAAAAAAGCTTAAGAAAAGATGTTTATCCAAACATTATACAAAATGAAAATAAAGAGCTAAGCAGCATCATAAGGCAAAAAAAAATGTTGATTCCTATTAAATTTAAGAATAAAATTTTAGTGCAGATGAAATTGGTAATTCAATGATGGTATATTTTGGCGGTTATATTTTTCTTCAGTTATTTTATGTTTTAATAAATGGAGCTGGGCAGTGATGGCCCATGCCTTTAATCCTAGCACTCTAGAGTCAGAAGCAGGCAGATTTCTGAGTTCAAGTCCAGCTTCATCTACAGAATGAGATCTAGGATAGTCAAGCTATACAGACAAATCCTGTTTAAAAACCAAAACCAAAACCAAAACCAAAACCAAAACCAAACAATAATAACAAAAAACAAAAAAAGAGAAAAAGAAATGGAAAACTAAGTTTTGCATAATTCCTTTTTTTAAAACTTTTTGGATGAAAATACTGAATTTCATCCATGCATGCATAAGTATATTAAATTTCAAGAAAAAAAATTATATTGTTTGAAAAATGTAACTGAATTATTTACATTCCTTCTGACATATTTTACAAGCCACATTATGTGACCAAATACCCACAATCATTTTTAGTGATTTTTAATGCAACAAATTAACCAGGTTCTTCCTTTGATTTTGTTGAAAGAAGATGGTAGGAAGCAAGACGCATTACTTGGTGTCCAGTCATTCACTGTCTCATCGTCAATATTTATAACTGTTTCTTTGTGTTCAGGAAGCTCTTGTGTGCCAGGGAAGCACACAGCAAGATTGGGAAAGAAGGAAGTGCCCTCGTTTTCTCAAAGAGAGGTATGAAGGAGTTTGCAATGATTTCAAGTTAATCTACTTTAATAAGGAGGTTATAAAAAACAGAATCCTGAAATTGTTTAGAGATTACACATGATGCATGTCCCTCAGATATATTGTGTACCCCTAAAGATACATAATGCCTCATGAATACAGATATTTGCTTTGAGAACCCCTGACTTAGTATTTATATATACTTATATGCAATTATATATTATTTATAATGCATGTAATAGTTATAGTGTATAAAAAAATCTATTTTCAAAAAGCAAAAGAAAACAACAACAACTACAACAACAACAACAACAAAGCTTCAGTGACCACGTTGGAATATGGTATCTGGTGTAAACTGAATTTCTGTTTCCAGGCCATGGTCACTCTTATATAGCTACAGAATCAATCGCCTCTCACTCTCTTTGAACAATAAAAGTGAACACGGAACCACCCACGTTCCACCTGTCTTCCTGGGTCACTCTAGAGGTCACCTGTTCTTGTCATTCTAGAAGCATGTCTTCTTGTCAACGTGATTTCGCTTAATATTCTTGTTTAAATTCAAATAACATATTTGGATTATATTCTGCTCTCTCCCCAAGTTCTTCCAGACCTTCTTAGCACCACACAGGGTGCTGTAAGTTACAAAATTTAGTGTAAAACTTGGAGTTCCTGTCTTGTTTGAAAAAGATCATAAATCTGCTAATTATGCTAATATTTCCACAGCTTTATTGGGTGGCTTTTCACACCAGTGCTGGACTGGAATGCTGAAGGAATGCACACAGACTGCATCCTTTGAAATACTTTGTAGGTGATGCAGATCTGTGCTAGGGTCTTCTCTGAACAGTTCATAAGAGTCAACTGTACAGTTTCCAGAAGGCTTATAAACTTGCTATAAAATAAAATCATATTAAGTAGCTCATAAAGACTTGAGGAGCCAGGGTTGGGGAGATATCCAAGGAGGTCCAACTACTCAGAGGAGAAAGGGAGCGGTAAATGGTAAAAGGATTGTGGGAGGGGGTGGCTGGGAGGGGAGGTCAGTGAGTCGGATGTAAAGTGAATAAGTAAAAAAAAATAAATTAAAAAGATTAGCTCATAAAAACTTACATTTAAGTAAGTTACAATTAAAGTATGCATAAATAAATGAAATAAAACAAAAGATAAAGATTCTATGATAAAGTGTCTACAGGCTTATTGTAGGACAGTTTAATAATTACTAAATTCTGCCACAGAGCCATAATAAACCTAAACAGCCTGAGGACAGCAGGATTACAGTAGAACCAGATGTCTTTCCCAAGCAACAAAGACATTTCACTTGCCAAATTCTGTTTTTTAAATTCACTGTCTTTCTTAGAAATAAGGGGAATATTAGAATGACAGACTTGTTTACATATTTAACTTAAAAATATATCTTTGGATGGAAAGCAAGCTTATAATCTGAATGAAAATAGATAACATGATTAATATAATATATACAGGCCTGACTGCATGAAAGCTGGGCTCAGAATAATTGATATAAAAGCAGTGTGTGTAAAGCGTGTGATTTTTCAAACAAAGACTATGTCTCCCTTTCATCTCCACTCTGCTGGCTTTCTTGCATTCTAAAGGGTAGCTTATTGATCAGTTACAGCAGTACCTGTGGGTAATCAGGTTTGGCATCGTACAAAGAACATTGGGATATTTATTTACAACAGAAGTAAGAGGATGCCTGCCTCACCTCTCTGGAACAAGGGTACATTGCTGAGAGCAGTGTAGAGGCAGGCTCTGGGATGACTGTGTTCGCTCAGGGAAAGTGCCCTGTTTCATCCTGAGTGACTGCTTTGAACCAGGATGGTGGTTTACACAATCCCGGGTGCCCTGGGGGATTGTTTGATGCAGCACAGAAGCAGCAGGTATAAATTTTAATGACTCATCTTCTGGCTTGTGGCCTGGAGGGTTGTTCTTCAGTTAGTTCACAGAGAACTGGAAAATAATCATTTGGACTGCAGACAGCAGAAATCCCCAGGGTTTCCTAAGGAGGAAACCAGACCTACACAACCTTTTAATTTTCACTTTTAAAAGGAAGGAAGAGGCATTTAACCTAAGGGAAAAGGTCCCTCCTTACCAGAAAGACTTTGTGTTCACTGTTGACTTAAAAAAGGAAAAACATGTAATAAGCGGTCAGTATAGCTTTTTAAAGTACTGTCATTATTTACAACACACATCTTGCACACTAACTACTTTTATCTTCCACTTCCCTCCCCTACTATTCACTCCCCACCGTGCAGATACATTTCTCTCTGGTTTGTTTTGTTTTGCAACCCACTGAGATTAACCAGGCGGTCTCTGTGACCACATGTTTGGAGCTATCTGTTGGTTGCTGAGAAACAGGGTACTGAACTAAATGCAGTGATTCCTTCTCTCCTACAATCTATTGATAGCCGATGGTTCAGAGGTAGCTTTTGTGCTCTCCCCCCCTCTCTTCACTGATTGCTGACTGGGCTGATCTTGTGGAGACCCAGGGCAGGTAACTCCCTTCTATTGATCTGAGTGAATGATAGTACTAGTTGTATGATTTTTTTTTTTTATTCTGTAGAAACTGTGCCATAAGTGTGGACTAGTAGGATGAATAGGTCTTACTATAGTTTATCTTTTCCTTCTCTAAGTATCTACGGAACAGCCAGCAAAATCTATCGCTTTAAATGGTAGAGATGTTATTTAACATTTATTATAAAACAAACTTCATGAATGTTGGAAGCAATTTGAAGCAAACAAACAAACTTCAAACCAAAAAACACATGTAGTCTGGCATAATCTTACATTCACCAAACATTCCCATGCTGAATTTCTATGGAGAAAAAAAGAGTTAAACTCAACAAGATCTTGTTTCCTCTCCATTCTGTTGGCTAGGTCTCCAGTAGCAGGCATGATTTCTCTCCTATTGAGTGGACCTTTACCTCCCAGAGAGCTATTGGTTGGCATCACCATGTGAGTGACACTTACTACATGTACCTTTACCTGCACTTGCCATGCTGGCCATTGTTGTCATGGTTCATAGGTGGAAAGATTATAAGAGCTAAATACCATGAAGTCCGCTATGAAACCATCACTCCTAGAAATGTCTACACAGACAAGACTGGAACAGTGGCAATATCAATGGATGTGCTGAGGCGGAAGGTGGAAGACTTCATGAGCTCCCACTCATAGACAAAGAGCTAAAAGGGATTAATGACTTCTGGGAGGAGGATTAGCCTCTCCCTAGGAGGAGCTCCCTTACTGGCTGTCCCATGCAGCCTGAAACCATATACACATAGACAATAGAAATGGACTCAACACGGTTGAATTCGTGTATTTGTGCATACAAATACATGTATACATATGTGGGATCCTGAGGTGGACGCCCAGGGTAGCTTTCCACTGCGGGTCTTAATAACTTGAGAAAGTCCGGGAGTTCCAAGAGTTTTATTGTTCATGGTGTGTGTAGATGGTCTAGGTGCACCTCCCAATTTAAGATGGGGGAGCTGGCTTAAATAGGGAGAGGGAAAAGAGGAGGGGCTGGGAAAAGGAATAACTTAACTAGCTACACCCTTTGGCCTTCGGTAACTCATGAATATGGAAATCTCTTGAGGCTGAAGCTTGTAGTCACGCCTTCTACCTGTGTGTGGATAGTGATGCAGACCTCTTGGGGAGGGGCTGCTTAGCCAGAGGAGACTGCAAGGCACAGGTTAAATGGAGGTCTAGACCATGTGTAGGAGCCTAGACTCTGGGGACATGGCCGAACACCTGCCGTTCCTCCATCGGAGTCGGGGTTCAAAGCCCATGCCTAGCCAAGAATCAAGATATCCTTCCACGGCCTGACATACATATGCATACATGTGTGTGTTTGTGTAACAATAACACTGAAAGAAAAAGAGGCTATCAACCCGAGAGCGGGGGGTGGGGGGGCTTGGAGAGGCTGGAGGGAGAAAGGGGAGGAGGATACAATTCTATTTCAATTGAAAATATATTTAGAGAGTATAAAGCAGACCAAGAATCAGGACTGTAGTCCCTGCCTCCTTTAAACCTGAGTATTCTGGAGGTGTTGGTCAAATGTTTGTGTTCTTTCTCCTGATCTAGAGGTGAGTGTTTCATGAATATTTGAGATTTTAAGGGCGATCTTTCAAATACCTGTTACTTTACAGATGAGGTCTTTTGAGAAATCTTGTAACAGTGGAAGACATTTACCAGCTCCTTCTTTGGGTAGAAGAGTGACTGATTTGTCCAGTTGTCAGGGGAACTTGGGGCACTCTCAGTGAAGTCTAGAAAGCCCCAGGCAAGTCGTGATGCCTTGGTTACTCTAATGCACAACCACTGAGTTCCTTGCATATATTCAGGCAGTTCATGTTAGTGATGGGAAAATAGCAATACTGATAAGTTGATCTTTGGGAAGGTATTTTAACTATATGAGCACTATTTTTAACAGGTAACAAATGGTCTTCATGCTTTCTTATGCTCTCTTCAAAGTATAAAACTAAGCTGCCCTCCACGAAATTCACATGAAAAGTTGTTTCTTAAACTACTAATTCAAAACTTAAAGAAATTGTAAACAAGCATCATTACTAATAATAAATGCATTCCTCATTGGAGCAATAAGCTCCCTGAAAGGTGGGGCCTATGTGAAACATTTAACTATATGCTCCCCAAATAAACATAACTAAATAAACAATGCCAGAAATGGAAGATCCCATACTTGCATGTTAACCAGAAATGCCTTCTTCTGATGGGTCAGTGCTATTCCAGACACAAGTACTTTGACAAAGATGGGCTTCCCTTAAAGAGATGTTTCTAGACTAGCAGAGGGTCTGAGGCAGCTATTGAGAGAAACTGGGCAATCACTGATGACTCTGTTTCCATATCTTACCGGGTCTGTTTTGGTGAAGAGAGGCATTGCTGGTGAGGTTTCCTGATGGCAGAAGCATCCAGCATCAGTGTGATCCAGGTGTAGATGAAGGAGACCAACCAAACAGCCAGGACCATGTCTTCCAGAAGGAAGAAATGCAGGGAGATGCCACCAACACAGCTACTGAGATTTCTTGACCATGTGTCTTTCAAAAAATAGATATCATGTCATGAAAATGAACTAAGAAGAAACAAGCAGACGTTGCCCTCAGTGCTGCCCTTTGTTTCTGTAGATTAAGTAGATTGGCATCACTGACAGGCTGTGTCTGTCTGCCTCATTGGCAACGTAAAGAAAATAAGGTAACGCCTTCCATTTTCCCTCTTCCTCGGGATGGTTCTTGGTAGGATGCTTGATTCCCCACTCAATAAACTCTCAGCTGCTGTCCTCAGCAGACAAAGAAGCTATGTTAGGCTCTAATCCTCTTAACCCAGTGCAATACAATTTGAATATATGTAATGATGCTGTAAAATAATATGCTTAATGAGAGAAAGATGATTAATTTAATCTTAATTACACACTGCAAGACCTTTTCCTTTATCTCACGGCTTCATTTAATCCAGAAAGGAATCATTGCCTCTCCTCAAACACACAGGCCTCCCTGCACAATAGAAAATCATATTACTATATTTTGAAGTAAACAACCACATTTCATGATGATGATTTATTCATAATGAAAGTATTCAATTTAAGGTTAAATATAGTAAGAAACCTCTAAATGAAACATTACTTTCCTGGATAATGCACCAAACACTAACCTGTCAGTGTTAAATTAGGGCCATGCATGCTGCCTACATACAGAAATTCTGGCTGCTAATATTCCCTGTATGTCTTAGTTAGGACTTCCATTACTGTAATAAAATGTTGTGGCCAAAAGCAATTTGGGGAGGAGGGGATGTACTTCATCTTACAACTCTCACTCTCTCTATTAAGGCAAGTCAGGCCAGGAACTCAAGTGAGACCCTGGAGGCAGGACTGGAGCAGAAGCAGAGATGATGGAAGAACGCTACTTACTGGCTTGCTCCTCACAACTTTCTCAGTTTGGTTTCTATATATGCCAGTACCACTGGCCCAGGGTAACACCACTCACAATGGGCTCAGCTTTCCCACATCAATCCACCATTAATCAAAAAAATGCCACAGAGGTTTGCCTACAGGCTAATCTTGTGGAGGGATTTTCTCAAGTGTGGTTCCTTTCTCTGAGATGATACCAGCTTATGTCAAGAAGGCAGACAACTAGGCAGCACGCAGTGTGCATGTAAAATGTTACTGAATAGACATCCAGTGACGCTAACTTTCTTCCACTGAAGTATTGAAAGTCAGTTATAGAGACAATTAGAGCGTGGGAGGATCTGCTGATTGTGTTGATCTTGTATATGTCGTTATTCACTTTTCATATGAATGTATTTAACTTAGGCTGTTTATCGTTTTAGCCCGTGCATTAAAACCTCTTGTGTTTTCAGTATGCTCACGCTGTTCCTCTTTCTCTTCCTCTTCTCCTCCTCAGCCTCATTCTCTACGTCTTCCCTTACCTTGTGTTTTCTGAAGAACTAGAGAACAGGGGTGAGGAGGAGAAGGAGATGGTACTAAGTTCACAAGTCTATCTCTAGCAATTTGCGGACGCGCTCACACTGCATTTGTAATGTACTGCCCCTTCACTGTAAGGACGAATCGATGATGAGAACTCATCTGTACTCTTTATTGCATCTCCCCTCCCCCGCCCCATTCCAACTACTCATAATATTTAAAAATGATGCAATAAGAGTTTATGGTTTTTTTTGGTGATGAATTTTAAGTCAAAAATGGTCTACACTAAAATTAAAAACAAGCCAGCAGCTTAAAGTGGAAACAGTTGGTACATAAGAGGTCTTACAGTTTTCATGCAATTACCAGGAAGCATCTGTCTCTCGGTGCTGAGGCAGCTTGTTGACCTTATCCCTTTACTGTTTTCCTTTGCAATCCCAGTAAGCATCTTAAGAAAAAAAAAAAGGCAGAAAAGCACATCTGTCATCATGAGAATGTGGTGAACACTAGGAAACAGCAAATCATGGTTCCTGGGAAGCTTGTAGTAGCTGAGGCTGTCCCTTGCATGAGTTGCTTTCTGTTCATTTTTCCTTCATTCCGATGACATTTGTCAGCCTCTCTGGCAAGGATCCAAGTGTGAACTTGGATAGCGCAGCTATGTCCTCAGATTCTTCCTGGGTATGTAGCTATCATTAGCCCACAAAGGAAAATAAGAGGAGAGTCAATCTCTTTTTAGAGTTAAATCAAATACAATCATCAGCATCAGCAGCAATGATAATATTTCCAGCGCTCCAGAAACTTCCAAGTGAGCTTCTAAGATGTTATGTAAGCTAAATATATTGATCTGGATATTATAGTCATAGAATGTTGATCCAGAAGGACTTCTGGAGGTCATTCAGTCCACATCAACTCCTTGACTCCTCTCTTTTTATTCAGTCATCCTATGGTGTCACTGGGGGACTGGTTGCAGGAGGCTACAGAGGAAGAAATCCAATGATTCTCCAGTCTCAGACCTGAGACGATGTATCTGCATGCAATCTATTCTTACTCCAAGAGATAAAACATTTATTACATTTAATTATTTGTTCTTCACATTCTCTCTCTCTCTCTCTCTCTCTCTCTCTCTCTCTCTCTCTCTCTGTCTCTCTCTCTCCCTCTCTCTGTATGTATGTATACATAGGCAGCTAAGAAGACTTGGAGGTCAATTTTCTCGGTCTGTTATGTGGCTCCTCAGAGTCAGACTCAGAGCATCAGGCTCGGCAATAGGTGCCCTTACCCACGGAGTCATCTCACCAGCTCCCCCTGTATACTTTAAACCCTATCTATATTACTAGGAGATCTAGCACAATGCAGACTCTGTGAGTCGTTGCCACACTGCAGTATGTTGAAGATCATGGAAACAGACTGTCTTATGTTCCACACAAGCACAATGTTTGGGGGATGTATTTGGAACTGTAGTTGTTTAAAACTGTAGATATTCGACCTGAGATTATGGAGAGCCAAATATACAGTGAGCAGCCAACTCAACTGTTTGTGCTTTAAATTTATGTTGGCAATTAAATTTAATTGGAAACATAATGGCATGTCAGAAATGTCATTTTTTAATGACATGGCCTTTCCCTCTTCCCTTAAATCTTTGCTCTCAACCAACAGATTCCTAGCGTTATGCGGTTCTTACGGAGTATAGTTCTTACATTACCCTCTCACATACTTGCTAGAATCAGCTTTGGCAAGGGAGGGAACACAAGACAATGTCAATAGTGAGATCCCTATTCATTATGGTGTAATAGCGCAATATTGCCACCAGATGGAAGCATAGCACACACATTCCCATCCACACCCAGGTTTTTCTTTTTTAAAAAATATATTTTTATTTATTTTTTAAAATCAAATCATAATTTTTTACTTATTCACACAGGGGTTATAAACAGAAAAAGGCAGGACGTGGGGAAGGGGATGACATTGGAGCATGGGTGTTCAGGGAGAATACAGATGTCTTCCAGAACAGGGTATTGGCTGGGTGAAGGTTCATGGGACAGGTCACTATGACTCTGCTTATGATTCACTTGTCCTTATCTAAGTTGGTATTATCTGCCAAGGCTACCTATTTACAAGGTCTATGACTACTCAGGCTGATAAATTTTCCCAAAAGCTGCCTGTTTACAATAGCTTATAGCCATCTGTTTCAATGTTTTTCCACTGAGACCCAAGACTTGGTGTTAGTATACATGTGTGACAGGCCTATTGCTGATTTTAGGCCTTCAGTGTATAAGCAGGGATTCCCCTGACATCTCCTCCCTTCTCTAAGTATAGAAGGGCTGTGGTGATTCTAATCTTGCAAAGGCAGGGATAGAAGCCTGACCTCCAGTAATTGAAGGGGACTTTGTAATGGCTCCGGTCCCCCTGTCGTTGACCAGTGAGGCATGAGGGCCATACCCATCCTGATGTCTTTTTCCTGGAGAGGGGATACTTTTGACACCAACCCCTAAGCAGTCAGGCTTGTCCCTCAGGGAACCAAGAGAGATATTTTTAACTTTTATTGATATTCCCTTGCAGTGCTTAGCCTCACAGCCTAAGCAAGAATTCAGATCGCCAGTCAGACGGGATTCTGGGTGGCCCTTCTCTGGTCTTAAACACCTCTAAGTGAAGGAAAATTAACTCACTTGTTAACACAGGGGAGAGGGAAAAAGAAGATTAATGAAAAGTAGTAGAACTGTTTAAGCAACAATAAGAAATTAAATTCTGTTACTTTCCTTTCTTGAATGGTGATTAGTGATATTTATTTCTTATATTGAACAGTAAGCATAGTTTTAAGGTTCTACACCTCCTATACCAATAAAGTAGTTTTATTTGTAAGTACCAAGAATGAACACATTGGAAGCACAAGCCTTCTGTCAAAACGACTTGCTAACATGAACACCATTTGACACAGATTCACAGGAACTGGGAGGCAGAGCTCTTGGGGCTGAATGAGGAAGGTTCTGAGTGATCCTAAAGCTTCTTCATACTCTCCAAGAACTCACAGATGATTTAAATTTTGGGGTGGGCCAACTGAAATCCTTGGCTGTGGCTCAGATGGTAACTGACGGATCTCCCTTATCCAGATCAGCGGAGGGAGCTCTTCAGCACTGATCCAGCTAACCCATCAAATGCTGCCCACTGACAGGGGTGAGTTGTGTTGTGTGTGGGTGTGTTGGGGGGAGAGAGTCAGTTCTCCTCTTCTCATGCCTTCAGGGCCAGCTCACTCAGCTCCCTCCGCCAGAGCCAGCTCTACGATGCTGCCCAGGCAGGGCTTCCTTACTCTGCTCTACTGTATGCTGTAGCTGGTAAGAGGCGGGGCCTGTTCTGGGTAGCCCTTGGACACTCCTGGGGCTGCACCGTATGGATCCAGAGATGGTCCTTAGCAGCAGCACAGGCTGGGACTTCACCAAGTCCTCAGGTGGCAGAGCTGGCTACTCACACCAGGCTTTTCCTCTCCACCCTCGAATCTCCAGTTCAGTCTCTCTTCATAATGCTCAAACTGTTCCGTTTCTCTTTCTCTTCCATCTGACTTCCA